TTGAAACTGCCAGTGTAGACGTCGGATATCAGATTACCCAGATCAAAGATTAGCTTTTGTCGTTCTTTCCACAGTGCATTGTACTGAGACATCTCCTTAATGTATGTCCAGACAATCCCATTCGTAGTTGGTTCAGCTGTCGATGTGCGGAATACCTCTGCATCCCCAAGGTACATGATCGCTAATCGATCATATTGTCGACCTCTAGAGGTCACAGTGAGGTTGATTCGAACCGTGTCGAAGTCACATTTGGGTGGAATGTAATATCCTTGTTACTGGAATCAATAACAGAGCCATCAATCCGCGAGGATACCCACTGACCTACAAAAGGTTTGCCGTAGCTATAGGCAAACACATGATCCATAAGAAGTATCTCATCATTGCATGCTGAATCTGCGCCTCCAGTGGTCGAAACAGGTTGGTACACTTGAAACACCTCCAACACTTCTGTCGTACTGGAGGTAGAAGCAAAAGCCTGACGAGTTGCAATACCAGATAAACACTCCAAAGGCAGGTATCCGAGCCATATGAGTGCGGCACAAAGCATGAGTGACAGCGCCATGCAGACGGTCTTTATTTGGCAGGGGCAGTTCCGCACGAAATCTTCTTGATTTCTATTGCAATCCAATGACACAGAAGGTTTTACTTCTGAACAAGTATCCAATCTTGACTCTTTGTATGTTGCAATATCATCCAGCGAATGTTCTTTCGCCTCGACCTTGGATATCTTCCGGGATCGCCGAATGTTGGCAACATTCATTGCAAAGCAACAGCAGAGAAATAGCGCCGAAACAAGCAGCACAAGCACCTGTGACTGGGACATGGAACATCCGAAAAGGAAGCCGCGACTAGACGCATATCCCTGCTCCAGTCCGGATCGCGCCATGGCTGGGTCTATCAATGTGACGGAGCTATACAGGAGCCCCGTCGGCAGCATGCAGAAGTACTGGTGTCTCCTCTTCCCCGCTCAGTAGCGTTGTTGTTACTCCAGAATGAGCGTTGCAGGGATAGATTATTATCATATCATGATATCACTAGCCAGAGGTACTGAATATCAATACTAGCGCGCAAGGAGTGCGACGACTATCTGATGTACTATGTAGTAGTTAATGTTATTGAAAGAGATGATAAGCCATGTGGGATAGAATGGAAGTCATGTCACGCACTAGACAATCAACCTGCCATTTTGAGAAAGACCGGCACAACACATCTCCTGGACAGCATTCCCGGTTCAGATAGAACCTACATCTGTCGGCGAATACCATCGTAATGTGACTGTCTATGCGATCGAAATGTCCTTACAAGCGGTAAACCAATCAGTTTTGTCCATGTCAAATTCCACAACTCGCTTTCGTTGAACTTATCGAAACAACGCTTTAAAATTATACAAAGTATCTTTTGAGGACCAGGTTGATGGCCACACTCCACAAATCCAAACGGACCTTCCTTCCTCTCAGTTTGTTCTATTTCAGCAAAAAGACGAGGCGAGCGGAGTATTATGTACAAGGATTGTTACAACTCGACAGTAAGATTGGAGTGCTGAAGGAGTCGATACCGAAAGGAGTCGGACTCAAGCGCGGATGAATCACATGAAAAGACGCCAGGCACCGAGAATGAGAGCGGCTGTACCGGTGCAAACACCCCTGAAAGTATAATATGTTAGCCAGGTTTGAGCGAATGTAGCAAAGGAGCCATACATAAGCCATTGTAAGGTCGAGAACTTAACAGCCTCAACGCGCTCTCGCAGCCCTGCAACTTCTTGCTCGATTCGTGTTTCAGTCTCCTTGATGCGCATCTCTTGGCCGTTCGCTTCTTCTCGGATACGTCCTTTTTCAAGGTTCAAATCAAGGCGAACAGAGGCTTGAGTTCGTCCAATCTCGTCCCGTAGTCGCGAGTTGAGTTTCGCAAGATCCGCAGCAATCTTTTCGTGGGATGATCTAGTCAACTGCGCTTCGGTCGAATCTGCGTTTAGTAGCTCTGAGCGGAGTTTAGCAAAATCGACTTTCTGTGTATATGCTGAGCGTTCAGTATCTAAAACTGTGTCGTCAGCGCCTGAGAATAGAGGAGCAACAAAGAGGGTATGATGACTGCCAAAGCTTCAAATGGACCTGCCTTAAGGCATGGCCAGTTGGGGGAAACAAGGAGCTGACCAACCTTCCCGAAGAACCATTGTCCGCGTCAAGTGCTGTATTGATTCTTGGATGACATCGTTCAGGACCCTCATCATTGCGACGGCTTGCTCTTCACTGAATCCTTCATCTTTAAGCCGTTGGACGAATCTCAATGTGTCGAAGTGATGCTCCCGCTGCAGAGAAGCCGAAGCGTGAAAGGCGCGCCGCGCTGGCTTAAAAGTGGCCACATATACCCCATTATACCTGATGGGATTGTTGAGGTCCTCGAGAGCTGGACGATTTTTCGGGGCGCTCGATGATGTAGACGGGCATCTTGCAACCAGTGTTGTCGGGCTATGGTCCCGGGACGCTGCGGGGAAAGAGCGGGCTTGATGTGGATAAGCGGATAGAGAACGTAGCTGTTGACGCACAGGACTCAAATTTTGTATGCGCTGCTGGTGTTGAGGTCGCAAAGTCGAGAGAGCGTTGCCTTGGGGTGGAACGACCGTAATCCGGGTAGAGGAGCCGTTCCAGGTCAGACGAGGGAGAAGTGAGCGCGGGACTTCTGTGACAGATTTCTGCGGCGCCATCCTCAGAGTATATCAGCGCAATGACAAATCATCGAGGAGAGATGTAGCAGCAGAAGCTTAAACCAGCGCCTTCTATTCTTCGTCGGATAAGTGACTGTTGGTCGCCTCGCCTCTTATGGAGTACTCGCAGTGAACCGGAATGCGGGCATTGCCGATGACTAACACATTATACAATTATCGCAGCACTAGTGCATTTTGGGATGCATGTGATTTCCAGCTTCTCATTGGAGAAGTATGATTGTATAGAAGGCACAATTGAATTACATTTGCAAGAGGTTGTCTATGTATCATTATTATAACTCTTCAGTTATATCACAAACAGTGGGAAGGATATCGCTGTATGTCTCATTCGAATGTGCCCCAAGGCAGTCATGAAAGATGAAAAAGAAATAGCACGCTTCATAGCTGGAACAACTCCTTAAGCTGCTGCATGGTATCCTCAGGACCATGTACGGAATGGCCTATCGTCCGCGGATCTGAGTAGATCTCGTAGTCATTACCTCCAGGAAAGCATTTATCTCCGAAGAAGTGGATTGTTGTGTACTCGACCCCAGTAATTTGTTTCTCGGCTTCAACGTGCCGAAGGCAATAGGTCTTATCCCAACCAGTGGGGAAGACGTCAAAAGAAATCTGGCCGCCGATAGAGTAGCTGCAGATTGATGGTTAGTATCATTGTTCTGGAACGCTGTCTTTTTACTACCGTCATTACGAATCACTTACGTGAGGCCATAATCAGGAAACTCCTTCTTCAGCGCATTGACCATATCTGTTCTGATGTGGTGTTCTTTGTCATATCTGCCGTAATGGTTAGCCAACGAGTATTCACAGATGCCATCGCTGTCTTCTCAATGGCTGGCCGAGCGCAGATTTGTATACATACGCTTCGAACTCGTTTCTCTCTTCAACACTCGCGTTTCTGCCAATAGGACTAACATTAATCATTCCATTACGGAACTCAATGAAGGTACCACGCTTCTTGGGCAACTGCAAGTCCGCAAAGTATCTGAGGATAAAGTTCACCAGCTTCTGATATTTCTCCTCGCCTATCCACTCGATGAAGCTGGTGCTGGCAAGAGGCTTGCCCAGACGGAAAGCCATCAAACCATTCTCCGGGAAGCAGAAATCGAAAAGGGAGGTCACGTCCGTAGCGGCCGTTCCAAGTTGTTCTTGTTGCTTGGCAAGGTTGGAACCGCCGACCTGCAGAGGATGAGATTGATGTCGAGATCCTGTGAATGCGTTAACTCACGTATCCAATGGCACACTTGTGGCGCAATTGCGAAAGAAGCATGAGCATCTCGGGTGTAACGGCCTGGTAGGCAGAGAATTGTTGACCATCAGCTCATGGATAATTGAAAATCTTCATTGGTAAATTAACGTACCCGTCTCGCAGGTGTCAGCGTCTCATCAACATCGAACAGACAGATTGTGTTTTTAATAGGACGGTCCTGGAGAGGCGGGTAAATACTCGCAGCTTCGGTCGCCATGATGAAGTATGTTTCTCAAAGTGATAATGCTGAATCTAATCAGTGAAATCGGTCGTACAATGTCTGTGCAAAAGAGAGCTAGGGATCAAAGGCAGGTCAAAATTCGCAGAGGATAACCAAACTGCGGGACAAAGAACTATTAAATATCAATAATGCCTCTCTAGTAAAGCTCAGGAACGTGGCCTATCCGCATGCGGTGAGAAGAGGGGCTAGTGGGGTCTAGACAGGAGTACCTCCAGTGCTTGGTGATTCAGGCACCAAGGCAAAAAAACTGGAAGCGGTCAAAGTCATACCTTAGTCAAGGTCCGGCACTCCTCCGCTGTAGGAGTACCTGTGGGTCTGGATCTTCTTATCGATAACCAGATTAGTAGCACAGAAAGTAGGAGTACTTCATCTCACCACTTTCCTTGAGGAACATTCCTTATGACTTGTATTATTGATCGGCCAATTGCGGAAGATAAACCACCTGGAAGTAGATCGTATGTCAACGAATATGTCCAACCTGGAATCCCCAAAAGTAGGGAAAAATGAAACTACACGGCTTGGGGATCACCGCCAAATGCCTTGCCTTTCTGTGGCGGTCCTCGTGATCGAGCGTGAAAATAGATAGTGCGGTACTAGGAGCGTCTTCTGATAGACTGATGCAGCTATATAAATCATGTCAAGGGACTAATGGCAGATACTACATATAGCGTCACTCATGGTGTGCGCTAAACTGACTCCCAAATCCTCCAAATATTCCAAAAACGAAGCCATATAAAGTCCCCAAGGAACCGAACACACCACATAAAACTAGCTAGTATGGCGCAAATCGCCTAGCGACCCAGAGTAGTCTGGAAGACCTTCGCTGCCAATTCGCTAAGTAGTCGGGCTCTTTCAGACTGCGGCAGTTCCAGGAAAACCTCGTAGACACTCTTGCCTTTTGCGTCTCGAACAGCACCAAGGCGATTCCCTGCAACGGCACCTGCCAAAGCACCGGGAGTATTGGCCACAATGAATCCTAAAGCACCACCGCTGATACCGCCCACAACAGACCAAAAGCGTGATGTAGGCCTGGTACGACGTTGGCCATCGGCATCGGTATCCTCGGCTAGTCCCTCTTCCCGCAACATCTCCTCGAAGACGGACCCAAATTGCTCAGAGGCTCGTTGCTCGCTATCCGTGGTGGTGCCAAATCCAAAGGCAGACCATGGGAAGCCGCCGCCATCCCGAGGCACTTCCTCTGCTGGCTCTTCGTACGCTTCTGCGGCTCTTAGGGCGTCATATTCTCGCCGACGTGTTTGGTCAGAAAGAGTATAGTAAGCATCATTGATCTCTTGGAATCTCCGAGTTCGGGCGGGTCGCTCTGGTGAATCAGCAGGTACTCGATCGGGATGGGATTTTAAAGATTCTCTGCAGATCATTGAGTGTTATTGAACGCCTCGATACGATCCAAGGCCTTTGCGCACCTTTTGTATGCATTTCGGATTTGTTGTTGAGTGGCGTCAGTGGAGACACCCAGAATTTTGTCTGTAGCCTTATGAGCGCAGTTCCGATCGATTTAGTCACTTAGGAGAAGGGCAGCATTACAGTAATCCGGTCGCCCTGTTTCTTGTTTGTCAGTCTTTGATTATCCTCTTTAAGGAATGACTAGGGTTGACGGTCTTACTAGGCATATTGACTGTTAAGCGTTCTGTGAGAAGATCCTGAAATCGTGCAAATCTAGGCAGTGGTGGAGATGGCTCTATTCGTCTTTGAAATGAACTAACCGTGAGGTCAAATTTGAGGAATTTCTAGATGCACAGCAACGTAGCGAACTTGGGAAATGCAAGCCTTCCATGTGCTGGCTTCATCCAAGCCGATGACGTCGGTAGTTGATGCCTTTTGATGCCTTGGAAATAAGGACACAATGTTCATCTGCGTTGCAACACCCCCTGAGGAACAACCACCAATGAGGATCATCCTGCTCGTTACCAGCCACCGATCAGCTTTCTACTAACGCATGTCAGTTTAGTTGGTGCAAGCAGCTCCTTTTGGCTTCCGGACCTTTTGTGCTGAAAAATGGAATCACTCCCCTGTCTGGTCTCCAGCCTTTCCTTGCTGTGATCACTTAATTGCATGAAATACTAGGCCGCTGATCATTGTTTACGGTGATTTTGCCAGGACTTCTGATCTATACAGAGATCTCAGGCAGGACATTTCTTAATTCCAGTAGTGGAGACATCTTCTGCGCTGGGCCTAGAACTGGAATTTCGTGCATCTGCATCAATTGACTGCGTATCCACTTTCGATCCATCTGAATCGCGCACAGAAAGACGCCTGAGGGGCAAATACTGCATCTCAATCTGGGTAAATAATCCAGCAGCTACCTCTGTCTTGCTTCAGGCAACTCTGGCTTTAAGCTTGATTCTTTACTCTGAGGAATTTCGGGCACATTGATTGACAAAAAATGGGTTGGTTTGATGGTAGGTCGACGACTTCGTCTTCTCGTCATGTTCGTCGACGCTCCCCGTCCCGTCGATCTGTCTATTCGACTTCACACTCTCGCCATTCGGCACCATCAATTTTCAGCCTAGGTGGCTACAGTCGTGCTGGTCGTTCAAGCCCCTCGGTGCTGTCCTCTTCATCTTCGAGGCGCGCACGGCCTCGAGCTGGGTTTATCCAGCGCGTAATCCACTATATCAAGCGCCTCTTCCGCGACATCTACAACTATGCGCGCCGTCACCCTGCAAAGGTCTTGTTCATGGTCATCATCCCTCTGCTCACGAGTGGTGTACTGCAGAAACTACTGGCCATGATCGGCATCCGCCTACCGCATAGTCTGAGTGGTCACTCCTCCGGTGCTAGAAGGGTCGGCGAGAGTGGCATGAGTGACAACCTCAATGGACTCATGAACATCGCTAAAATGTTCCTGTAGTACTGAAGGTACCCAGCAGACTCAGGGAAGCTTGGCTGCAATTGATGATAAGCTTTGACGCCGCCATCCCTGCCGAATGGCGATACGAAGAATGTCTACGAACAATCATGACTATGACAATGACGATGATTACATGTACTCGATCTACCTTATTGATGTCTTGTTTCTTTGCAACAACCGTTGATGATTTATACCAGCTATTATTGGGAGGCTGCCTGCAATGCCATACATTCTAAGCTTACACATGCGTCCTGGTAAACAATACTTTTCAACTCAAAGCTCTCTAGCCACTCTTGTCAGGTTGAAACGTTCCGACGGCACGTGCCGTTCGCGAACAGATTAATGAAGAGCCAAGAGCATTTAATAGATATGACTGCTGCCCAAGGGCATCCTAGTAGACAATGAGCGTATTCGCAGCAACGCGAAGATGAAGGTGTTGCGTGGCATAAGATTCAGTAGTAGCTTTTTTACGTCTAAAATTGATATACATGTATACAATGATTTCTCGCCGATAATGCTCGGGAAGTGTAGTATAAGCCAAGGCTCGACCTTGACAATCGCGCACCCATCCTGGGGACAGGCCGACTCAAGACCTCTGTGCCCGTTTGCCTCTCCGTCTAGACGCACCGTTCTTGGACTTGAGAGCAGAACTGTTGCTATCCTGGACCTCTTGCTCCATGGCCTCTGCTAATTCTTCTTCAGCCTCGACTTCGTGCTCTCCCGTGGTTGAAGCTCCAGTCAGTTTGCCCACAGTCTGCCGGTACAACCAAATCGGGACGCGGAACACCATTGTGTCGCGAATAGTCGGCCGCTGGATCTCATCCACGTCCAGCAGATATTCCTGGCGTTCTCCGTCTTCGGTCTCCTCTTCGAGGAAGACATTTCCAACGGAATCGACGATCAACACCTTGCCATTTTCAGCAATAACCCGTTTCCTCTCGCCAGTCGGCTGGGCAGACTCCGTGGTGGGTGTTGCGGTGCCGGAGCCGCGAGGCGATGCCTTTGAACCTTTCTTGCTTTCCTTGCGGCTCTCGCGCTCCATCATGCGCTTCTGGCGCCGATTCATAGGAATAGCAGTCGCTTCTCCTTCCTCAGGAGGGGGAGGAGGGGCAGCAGCGCTGGCGGTGTCGACGCCAGGAATACCACGGACGCCAAGTTCATCACCCCAGGCGGCCCTTCTCGCTTGACGAATGTACCGGTCGACGAATTCCCGCTGCCGCTTCCAACTGAGAACGAGGGCGGCGTAATGAGCACCACCACCGAAAACGAGAAAGAGCCCAACAAGCACACTTCCTAGACCCGGACGGAACCGAGAGTAATAGTAGCCAGTGCCCTTCCACTTGGGAAACCCATTCTTCAAGAAGTGATCGTAACGCTCACGACTGGGTCCACGGAGGATGTTGGCGACGGTGTTCAAGCGAGCGGCCCGTTCATGAGCTTCCTTGACAGCGGCGGCAATCTCGCGCTGGGAGGGTCCCTTGTTGACATGGACGCCCTGCTTCGTGGTTTTGGCTTTGCCCTTGTCCTTAGAACGGTTGGCGATGAAGGATCGCTTGACCTTGTCGGGGTGGAGAAGTCTGGATTTCTTGCGGTAGGCCTTGTTCAATTCGTCCTGGTTGGCATTGGGACTCACGCCGAGGAAGTCTATCAAGAAAAGAGAGAATGAGATATGAAATGCACAGGTGAGAGACAGGGGAAGAAGGACGTACCGTAAAAGGTCACATTAGCACCTTCAGTGGCTGTGACCTCATCGTTGAGTCGGAAGATTTCATAATCTTAACGATATTAGCATTGATGCAACAATTTTCTCTGTTCGCAAGAAAGTCGAGAGCGATACAAAGGGGTAAAAAGAAGACAAACCTTCTTTAGTCCAAGCAGCAGCAAGAACCAGTAGAACAGCGAACACAAACAAGCGGAGAGCAATAGGCTTCATGATGGGCACAGAGGGGAAGCGGTCAATGCCGCAATGGCCCGAACAAAGAAACAAAATAGAAGTCTAGACTTGACTCTTCTCAAGGATAAGGTCCTGGAAAAAAAGATTGAGAAATGGTGGAGTGAGCACTACACACAATTTAGAGTTACCGCTTTTGGTAAACTATGATCTGTCCACAATCCATCTACGACACATCGAAAGGCGGTCGGCTGTAATACAGTTGTACGGGGTAAGATACATATTCCTGAAGAGGGATAGGAAGTTATCTAGATACTCCGGACGAGTCCACATGCCTTCGTAAGTATCTACTCTGTAAATCCTTACAAGGCATCAAGTACTTTAATGACACGAAATCGCTGAGGGCTACGTGTGCTCCACTCTGCAGAGGGAAAAAACGTGGACCAATAATGGAGATGGTATTGAAGCCTTAGACATGGGGAGAAATGAATCCGATACGGGGACGAGGGGTTCCTGATTCTAGATGTGATGAATCTGATGGGGATGATTCATCATCAAGACGAACAGTTGGAGGTCAAAGAGTGTGGGTTTAAATGCAAGCATTCCCCGTCATAGTACTCTCGTAGACTCCCTTCTTTTCTGCCCTTGCCTAAAGATACTCCGGTCTACAGATGTACCGGGCATCCTAAGGCATCTATTTCGGTTGGCAGACCCGACAAGGGAAAGGGTTTTGAGCATGGAGGAGGCTTAAACCGAGCGAGACGTCGGATCCTGTCATGTTGTCCTCTGCCGTTTTAGCCTTTCACTGATTCTACAATTTCTCGTTCGCGGTTCGGCTTTCGTGTCTCGACCCAGAGTCCACCAGCGGCTTGAGACTGTGGACTCTTCCGCTTCCAGGCACGAACCACTTCTATTATTAGGGTCTTGGGAACTGTGAAGCGCAGTCAAAAGTAACCTCACACCGTGACGACTGCCATTATCATCAAAGTAGTATCAAGAGCCCTTGATCCGCCAAGTATCTTCAATCTTCCGGCAACCGGTCTACTCCGTAAGGAGTCTTGGACGGAGAAAGCACTAAGGTACTAAGGCTCAGCCCCTTGTGCCCTGTTGCAACGCCAGAACCAAAAATACGAACCAAACGGGGCTAGGCTGAAGGTTCCAATGATTTTTCTCTCTTGACCTCTCTAGGCTTCCTCATATGTTCCGGCCAGATAAACCTGTCAACTTTGCCTTCATTTACCACCCCTTTTACTTACTTCTCTGCTCATTGACTCGATTCACGTCTACTTCTTGCCTCCTAATCCTCTTCGGTTTTTCCTGACCGTCAGTTACTACTTCAGAGTTTATTTCCATCCACAAATCTTCCTACAACCATTTCACAATGAGTCCGATTCAGTTCCCCATTGACGCGATTGCCTCGCGATTCGGTGATCGCTTCAATAGCGTCCGCGCGCAATCTCTTACCTCGCGTTTCTCCAACCTCCGACCGATCTCGGAGTTCCTCGACGTGAAGCGCCTCTCGAAGCCTGCCAATTTCGGCGAAGTTCAAAGCCGTGTGAACTACAACCTGGCTTATTTCTCGAGCAACTATGCTGCCGTCTTTGTCATGCTCAGCATATACAGCTTGCTGACCAATCTGTCGTTGCTTCTTGTCATCCTGTTGGTTGCCGGTGGTCTGTATGGAATTGGCAAGCTCCAGGGCCGTGATCTTGATTTGGGCTTTGCCCGATTCACCACCTCTCAGCTATACACTGGTCTGCTGATTGTTGCGGTTCCTCTGGGTCTTTATGCTTCCCCCCTCGCCACTGCGCTCTGGCTGATCGGAGCCACTGGCGTGACTGTCTTCGGTCACGCCGCATTTATGGATAAACCAATCGAGAATGCTTTTTCCGAGGAGGCGGTCTAGGTGGTCGGCCGCGAGCTCCTTACGGTATGCCCCGATGGGGAAGACCACCGGGGGCACGAGTGGGGAGATCCAGCGGGAGACAGGCGGCTCAGTGGATGGATACTAATGATGGGCGGATTCAGGAGATTGACAGCGGGGCTGAGGAGGAGTATCTTCTGCGACGCGGTCGCGCTTTGTATGCTGCTGAACAACGGAGGATTGGGTGGTCGAGACGCAATGAGGATTACGACATGTCTGCTGACGATGTGCACTCGGTCGACGGTATAGACTTGGATCTGTATGACGATTCGGACAGCACGGTGGCATATGCTGTGCAATTAGCGATGAAAGACGATGAGGAGTGGCTGGTAGACAAAGCCCTGGAACGGATACGGCGCGCGCAGATACTGGGCCAGAAGAATGTACGACTTTCACAACGGGAGTTGGACGCCCTCGAACGAAAACGGATGCAAACTGGCGGTATGGAAGACGTCGGACAGAGAGTCAAGGTTCCCAAAGCAGCGTCTGTCGACAGCAGACCCCTGAGGCCAGTAGAGAGCTCCACAAACGGAAGACTGGGAAATCTCCGGACAATGCGGCATGGATCTAGCGCCCCAAACGGTAGCGTACCCCGTACCTTTGTGACGGACAAGAAGGAGATGTATGAATCGAGGGCGCGGGCTTCGGGCGCTTCGGCCAGTGACCATTCTCCTGTACTACCACGAACGTCCACCGTGCCTAACCTGCAACCTCGAATGTCGGTGCCGCCGACTTACTCATCCGTTCCACGCGATTTTCGGTCGGATATTCCCCTCACCTACCCCAGCCCTCTTCCACCGGGGACCTTCCAGAACCCCCCATATGCCCGCATCCTTCGTCACGAGCCACAATGGGTGCCTCCGTACCAGGCACCATATGCGTCGGCAACCGTCCCTGCGGGACCTCAAAGCTATCCGGGCCCTATGGCATACCAGGCAAGTCCCGGGTCTATTGTTGGCGATCGCCATCCGCTGAGTCGTCAGCATGTGTCCTCGAAGTCGGCCAGGGGCGATTCGAGCAGCGAAGTTGACGAAGAAGACTGTGAATCCGACAATGACGGTGATAAGATACACATTGTTGAAGTGGTGCGACGAAAAGTGCCAACTGGTCTTCAGAGCCGGCCTGCTGCAGCCGGCGGGGTCAGCGCCAGAGCAGTTCCCCCACGGTCTGGACGTTCTTGAAAGCATACAAACATACCCCCCCCCTTTGTGCCCCTTCATTTCCTTTTTCCTTAATCTGGTGGAGACGTCTTCGATGGATTGTGCCTTTCTGTGTCTCTTGTGTGTTTCGGTTGGGGCGGCCCAGTGGGTATTTGGCAAACAAAAACGTATGGAGTTCTGAATTAGAGCGGTGACTGTGTCAAAGGTTACATTAATTTTCAGTTCTGATTAATTCTAAGACAATAGACTATGTGATGGAGCGCAGCCGTGGAACAATAGCCCCCTGGTGGCAGTAACAGTATCGTGTAACCGGGATGCGATCCCGAGTCAGTTTGTGCACATGGCACCTGTGCAGGTAAGGTATGGAAGAGTGTGCAACTGCATGATTGACGGCTATCAGGATGACTGACAGGGATCTGCGAATGGTAAAAAATAAATTCAAAATCATAAGGATAAAGTGGTCTGTGGCTGAGACTGCGCACCCGAAGGTGATACTTTGCTGCCTACTTTGTGCACTTTTCGTATAGAATGAGTAATCTACGGAGCACAGCCAAGATGTTCGACAAGATGGTAGTCGACACCATGGAGAAGGAGGACCAATATGGGCTCGAGTTGCTTTGTGAATGACAATCATGATCATAATAGAGCATAATAGAGAGGTACACATCACAGTCTTCTCGTCCTTCAGTTGCATTCCGGAAGATCGACAATGGCTCTGCCCGATGACGTCGATGGACTGACCGGGTGGTGAAATCATTCCTGATTCCTTCGGGATATTATTATTTATAAGGAGGGAGGCTAAATGATTCATGATCAGCGCGCAGAGTATCCAAGGACAGTTCTGTTGGCTTTTTTTTTCCCTCCCGTTACCTTTCTAACTTCCCTTTGGCTTCAGGCTGCTGCTAGGCTGTCACCATATTTGTTCGTCCATACGTCCTTGATTGAACCACGCAGTGTCTGCCTTGCTCATCCCGATCCCTTGTTCCTCTATTACCACTGAGCCACAATTAGCCGACAGAACTAGGGATACACCGAACAGCCATAGAGTCAATTGGAGGGATTGTCGTCATCCACGCATTATTACATTTACCGCTGCCTGAAGTATTCGTCAAAGCCAAGCTTTCCTCATCCTGTGTGAGTTTGATCTAAGCCACATCCGCTGTATCCGGTGCGCCCGATCCCGACTCCCATTTAAAGTCAAGGATGGCTTGAACTGATCTTATTGATATGTGTTGTAGTATTGCCATAGCAGAGAGCGGCTCGTTCTTTTGAGATCGAACTCCTCCATCCTATTTGCAAATTGTGTGACCGACGTCGACATCTTGATCGAAACAAAGCCGTCAACCAATAAAAGATCGGCATATCAACATGTGGATTATATCATTTTGGATCTTTCCGGTGATATCGGCTTGCATGTGGCTTGGTAGGGAGATTTTTCCACCAAACCGGTCAGATTGATGCTAATTTCATGGTTTTTTCTAGCTACGCTGCTTGCGATGCTGGGAAATTGGGCTGTACTTGGGACACCTATCTACCCCAGTATGGAAGCAGGACAAACCATTGCGTATGCCGCCATTCGTGCTTCGCTTGCGCTTTCGGTTCATTTGACGCTGACAAAGGACTACAGATATATATCTGACATTGGAGCGCAGGGGTTGAAGCCTCTGTTCATCACGGGCAGCGTCATCACCGTTGTCTTCTTGGACTTGTCTTTCGTTTCAGAACGCTGGCTGCGACACTCCGGGCAGTTGGTGCCGAACAGGGGCTGGTTTGACAAGTTCTGCGCTGTCGCTTCGATATTCTTCGCGGTCGCCGGCGCACTGGGGTTGATCCTACTCTCGTGCTACGATACGCTGCGTCATCCGCATTTTCACGATGGGTTCCTGGTCATGTTCATGTAAGCGGCATCTTTTCGGTTTGGGGAAATAAATTACTGATTACCTTTAGTGTCGGATACC